TTGATATACAATCTATTAGAGACTCTTAGAACACTAATATGTTGCATATGTACCAACATACAATATACACTCTCATTTAGATCATCAGAAGACAAATTCATAGAGACCAAACATGGTATAGGTAAGATTACATGAACGAGTGGTTCTATCATAAGCATGCATAAAATAGTATACAATACACAAGACCATATACAAGAAGGTAGTAATCATACACAATGACCTGGGGATATGCATGATAGGAAGGTCATAGAATAATGTGTCTGAATTAATGAAAGAAGTCGTTTCCTATAGCAGTATGTGTCTGTTTAAGAGAGAATTGAGTAGAGGGGAAGATTCTCTCTATACTTTCAGGTCATGAAGTTTATCTGATCTGGCTGAGGTGTCTTGGTTGCCATGGTAACCAGGGGCCTGGGGTCCTTCACTGACATCCTGGCACTCAGTACGTTTATTGGGTGAGGAGTATGTGATTATTTGTTAATCTAATGAATAATTGATTTGTTAAATTTAATGAACAATTGTGTGTCGGATTGGTCCAAATGCTACAATACAGATTGTGTCAAAGAAACTTTACAGTATTAAATAGGTAAAATAGTGTGTAATAATGCAAAATGACAATAGTAAACACAAATTTTTCAGTTAAAGGCAGTTCATTGACATCCTGGCACTCAGTACGTTTATTGGGTGAGGAGTATGTGATCATTTGTTAATCTAATGAATAATTGATTTGTTAAATTTAATGAACAATTGTGTGTCGGATTGGTCCAAATGCTACAATACAGATTGTGTCAAAGAAACTTTACAGTATTAAATAGGTAAAATAGTGTGTAATAATGCAAAATGACAATAGTAAACACAAATTTTTCAGTTAAAGGCAGACTCTAATGTGAATCCTAAGGTTTCCTTTAATTGTGAAGCTCTTTCCACACTGAGGGCAGGTGAAAGGTTTCTCTCCAGTGTGAATTCTTATGTGCTCCTCCATCTTTACTCTTTGTGTGAAACTCTTTTCACAGTGAGGGCATGTGTGAGGCTTCTCTACAATGTGACGTTTTACACGATTCTTACGGGGATTCCTGTCAGTGACATCTAAACGTTTCTCTCCAGAGTGAATCCTCATGTGATGCTTAAGGTTTCTTTTATATCTGAAACTCTTTCCACACTGATCACAATCAAAAGGATTCTCTCCCTTGTGAATTGCCATGTGACCCTTAAAAGTTTCTTTTCGTGTGAAGCTCTTCTCACACAGTTTGCAGCCGAAACGCTTCTCTCCAGTGTGAGTTCTCATGTGGACATTAAGGTTTTTTTTCTGTTCAAAACTCTTTCCACACTGAGGGCAATTGAATGGTTTCTCTCCAGCGTGGATTTTTAAGTGGATTTCAAGGCTCTGTTCTTCACCGAAACCTTTTCCACACTGTTGGCAGGTGAAACTCTCTCTCATGTGAACTCTCAAGTGGCTATTCAGATTTCCTTTTAATGCAAAGTTCCTCCCACACTGTTGACAGGAGTAAGGCCTCTCTCCAGTGTGAACTCTCAAGTGACTTTTAAGATCTCCTTTTAGTGCAAAACGTTTCCCACACTGAGGGCAGGTGAAAGGTCTCTCTCCAGTGTGAACTCTCATGTGAATGTTAAGACTTCCTTTTAGTGCAAAACTCTTCCCACACTGTTGGCAGGCATGAGGCTTCTCTTCAGTGTGAACTTTCATCTGGACTTTAAGGTTCCTAGTTTCTGTTTCACGAGTCTGCGAGTCACTCAAAGATTTTTCCCCAGTCATGAAATCATGGCATTTCTCATACTGATCTTTCTCTTCCATTTCATTCAGTTCTTGACTCTCCTCTTTCAGTGGCATCAGGTCTAAGGTGAAAAGAAACAAAAACAAGTTAACACCAGTTTATTTGTACAAAGCATAAACCATCAAATCCAACAACATGTATGCTAGATCCTATATCCTCTAACCAACTACAAAAGGTTTAACCTGTAATCTTAAAACCAAAACACAAGGTTGTGAAACAGCATGCTAGATATAAACATTTTCAAGGCATTTTCACTTTTTATTTAGAGTTTAAAAAGGAAAGGAAGAGACGTGGGACAGAAAGAAGGGGACAGGATTGGGAAAGATCCACGAGGCAAGACTCGCACTTAGGATGCCCAAAGCGCAACAGCACTAGGGTTGTGCCGATAGTATCGTGTATCGACGATAGTCAGAGATATCACCTGTTGCTGATGCCTGTGACGATAGCAAGATGATTATTATCATAATCCGTCAAAAATAGACTAGGGCTAGGCGCTAATCTTTAGCAGTGTAGTGTTGTGCAGTGTAAATAAGGGGTAAGAGATGGGACTAGGGTGCAGACAGAGCTGATGGAACTGAACAACAATAATTGCTTTGGCAAACAAGGCAGAGCCACAGCAACAAGCATCTGAGGTGGAGACAGAGTGCCAGAGGACTGAGGCAGAGTTGTTGTGACGGAGGACCAAGAGAGAGCCAGAGGGAGGGTGGAGATACCCATAACTCCATGACACAGGCAGGGTGATGTCTGACCAAGGTGGAGCAGAGGGATGAAGGAGCCAAGACGGAGCAGACAGGCCAAGGGTGTAGGTTTGCTTTTGACATTATTGGGGACATAACAGCAGAGCCCCCCACATGATAGACCTTAAACCCCAGTTTCATGTCATCTAAAGTCTTTATGTATAGCTTATGGTAGCCAACGTATTCATAATCCATAAACTGGGTGTCTTAATCACGCAGCACTTTATTTTAATATTAGTCGAATTGGACCCAGGATGATTCTGAAAGAGAACTCCACTGTTGCTGTAGTAACAAACACAACTTTAACGCGCATCTGATTGACAGATAAACCACACGCTCTTATTTCAGTGTTGTTTTTTTATTTTGTGGATATTTCCAGCTAGTTTGCTTTGTACATTCAGTTTAACAACATAGGTTATTAAGTTAAATTTAAAGACTGTTCCAAATCCTGCCACGCCACAGAGCATCACTCACATGGTTTTCCATAAATCACATTATATTTGTCCCAATTTGGAACTCGCAAATTATTGTTAATGTACATAACTTCATCCTAGGCTGGAAGATTGTGTATTTTGCATCTTTCAGCACAGCGTTTGTCTTTCTGTCCGTATGCTTTATAAAGAGAGCTATATATAGAGCTATTAATATCCATAGATAATTCCAGAAGTGAACTTTTATGTTAACTGTTTTGGACTGCTGTCTTGAACTCGGTGCAATACCTGTGAGTTGGCGCTACGCTTTTCGTCCGGTGTGCGACTACCTTGCGTTCTTACTCTTACTTCATACCATGCATTAAATGTGGGTCCTTGAAAGTGAGCAGTTTTGTAACGCATTTACTTTAGATTCTTAGGCAATATCAATGCTATGACATTCCAGATGCTTCCTAAATTACAAAAACATATATTAAATTGTTTGATCAAAATTATTGCTTGGGACAATTTGGTAGTCGCTGGATATAGGTAGGGACATGTCCGTAGCGTCCCCCTAATTCTACACTCCTAATGGGCGCAGAAGCTGGAGGCAGAGTCATGGGATCATCTTGACTGGGTGAAGCTGGAGACCAGAGGACCCGAGGCTTATCACTGCACTGACTCCCTATTACACACTGCATACATTTTAAAATGTCGCTAATAACTTAAAAAGCCCTGAATGGTTTAGCTCCTCAGTACTTGAGCGAGCTCTTATAGAGTGGTGGAAGTATGATGTCACTTTATAGGCAAAAACCCGGAAGCGAGTTAGCATTTTAGCACTTCTGGTTCCATCGTCCCAGAGTCAATGGGTTTTTTGAATGGGATTTTGGTTTTAAATAAGGGTCAGTGGTTCACACAGGCTCAAGAGATTCTACGACATAAAACACACCAGTTACACCCCACTCGTGATTTTCTAAAACTGTTACGTTTCTTAAAAAAGACGGTTGCTAACAAGTTGGGATGTTAATTACATTGTGTGAGCGGTCTCTTGAATACCGCGTGGTTTACATACATGTTGCTGCTGATTGGGCTGACGTGTTTGACACACCCATCAAACAAGAGAAAACGCATCTCAAACCCTGTTGCACACCGTTGCACACCGTTTCCAGGAAACCTGTCGTTCAAACCGGAAACCGTAGCAAAACGGTGCACACCGGTTTGAGCTTGAACTTGCCCCAGGTCTCATCCCATTCGTCGATATTTGTGATATCACAAATCCCGGAAAATATGCGTTGTAGTCCAAATGAGTCGTTCATTGTAGTTTTTGAAAAGTGATTTCTGTTAAATAAAATATGTCCTTTTGAAGTGGACTTTGAGCTTTGTCACTTTGCAGATCTTTTTTATGCTCAAACAGCAACATTACAGACTAATTAAAGTTGAAAAAGTGAAAAAGCATAATAGGACCCCTTTAAAAAAGACGGTTGCTAACAAGTTGCTAAATGGGATTACAGGTGCTGTCGAAGACATTAAACGTCATCACGCCGAACAGTTTATCAATTTATAGTATTTTCCAATCGTAGTATAATTTGTAATGCAATTAATTGTAGAATAACCAATGAATAGTTTCCCGCATTTTATATTGTTCTTGGACAATGTTTTTTTTGCTTTGCCCCGAAATGCAACACAAGTGTTCGGATGGAAGATGCTCGTTTTATCACTTTCCTACTGATGCGGAGACTCTGGGTTTGTACCATAAGGTCAACTCGTATGATTATTCCATGTAAACACCACATTCACCAGCTTAGTCACGGAGAAAGTAAAACTTTAACAATGCATAGTGCTTAAAGGGTTAGTTCACTCCAAGATGAAAATTCTGTCATTAATTACTCTCACTCATGTCGTTCTAAACCCGTAAGACCTCCGTTCATCTTCGGAACACAAATTAAGATATTTTTGATGTAATCTGAGAGCGCTGACCCTCCCATAGACAGCAATGGAATTAACACGATCAACGTCCAGAAACGTAGCAAGGAGACAGAGTATGTTAGCGGAGCGGTGTGATTTTGAATGGAGGGAGGAGTGGATTTTTTAAAAGTTGGAGCGTCATGGTTTTCACTCGCTCCAAGAGCCCTCCACCACCGCTCCATCACAAGTACAATTCATGCCAATAGTCCATAACATAACTGCATATTTAGCAAGAATTCACATGTAGCCTATTTAGCTAGCTTGATGCAGATGGGATCACTCAAATCAGAAAGAATGTGAAGCTATGATAACGGCAATGGACATGAGCGGGAAGTTATTTCTCAAGTAATTTGTTTGTTCCATCTAGATACTGAATATTTTCAGCTGAAAGCATGATTTAAACCGGTACAACACTTATTCACACGCAATCGCTCTCTCAATAATGCATTCAAACAAATGTAATCTTAAGGCTTGTTCACACCGGGATGAATATTGCACGAGATAATCGCCGACGTTTAACGCCTCGTGACTAAACAAAGGGCGCCAATGTGAGTGTGCACACTGACGCGCAAAACGCGAGGCGTAAAAGCGTAATTTTTTTAAATAAACACCTCTGGCTCGTTTTTTTGGTTTGACGTGCCATGTTAAAAACTGGCCGACCAATGAGATTGGCGCTTTTGTTCACGTGCCTGGAGCTACTGAAGTTACAGTAAAACACGACTTGGTGGCGCTCAAGCACAAAACGGTTTTGCCGAGCACACATTGATACCTAACGACGTAGTAGTAAGTAGACCAAGAAAATGCATCGAGGCAAGATGAATGTAGAGCTGCTGGTCTCATTGGTGTCTGAACACAAAGGGCTTTATGACAAACGCGACAGCGACTACAAAAATCTCGATAAGAGGGAGTTGTTATGGAGAGGAATTGCAGATCAAATAAGATTCGATGTGTA